AAAATTGCGCCAAGCTAGAATCTCAAACTCCAAAGTAATTTATTGTGACTAAATGTGTGCAGCACTGTAAAGTGGAGGGAAAACTATGTAGTGTTTAGACATCTAAAGAGTGGCATGTATTTGTATTTTTTCCTGCAGTGGTATATTATCTCCACTGGTTTTCTGATCTAATCTTTCCAGAATGATAAAAACAATTTCCTGCCTTAAACCAAATTTTAAACTAGACATTTTACTGCCTCCTTTAACATTACAGTATCCCAGTGTTTCTATAAGCCCCTCAACAGCTTCTCTGAATATTGTATAATGATATACAAAGCGTTGGGTTCTATCTTTTCACCTAACCTTTTATTTCAAGTCTTCTATTTTATTAACTCCATGATGTATTTGGTTCTAAAATATTTCCTTTAAAAAAAACTATGTACACTTTGTATTTAGACTGAGAAGGATTAATAATTTGGTTGCCTCTGAAATTATTCATTTCTACAGTAGGTACTGGGAGGAAAACAAAGGAATGCATTTTGTCTCCCTTTAAATGTTGAGAATCCTATGAAGTTTTCTTTTTCACAACAATAAAATCAATTCTATCACATACAACCCCCCTGAAATACATTTAGGCCATTGGTTGGCATGTGCAACATTTAATCCTTTATAGGACAAGTTAGCGTTTTTGATCAATTGCATACCCCTTAGAAGTGGAGTCCCCCCAACACCCCCCACCCCACCGCCCACACCCCCGTCCCTCAGTGAGGTCTAGAAGCACAGGAACTATAACCAGCCATTAAGCAAATATGCTGCTACATGGCTGTACATCTTATTTTGGCATTTGACCAATTAGATGAGCCTTACCTACTGTGAATAAAGTTGGAAAAAATTAAGTCCACAAAAAAGGTAAAAAGCTAATTGAAAAGTTAAAAATTAAAGTTTCGTTAACAATTATATTTAGGTTTATAAACTAAAAAATGTAAGAGCCAGTATCAGCATTAATGCCTCTAAGGTAATGTACCAAAAAAAAAAAGTGTTTTTTTTCATTCTGTTTTTCATGAATGTCTTATAGAAACATTTTTGTTATTTTTCTTACTAAATTCAGGCAAGTAGGCATTTCGTGCCATCAAAATATCCATATTTTTTATGTTAAAAAAGGTAATAAGGTCTAGTCCTGGATTCCAATAACACCAATGGCTTGAAATTTTGATTTGCAAAAGATTTAACTGAGTGACCTTGGGTTAATAAAGATCAATGAAATATAGCGAAATAATCACTAAACACATACAAACAGAAAACAGTGACCCCTGTGCTACAGCTCAGTGACACATAAACTATGGTTCTGACATCCACAGCATCTATTATATAATTTAGAAAAATGCCTAATAATTCAATCCTAAAGTTATTAACCAGCCTCTATGATGCTCTCAGTAAAGATCCATTTTAAATATCAAATAAAATTTGATATTTAATACAGTTTATTGTAAATGTGTAAGGCATGCATGTAAGTTAACATCTACAAATGTGCAGTAAAAATATATATATTGAAATATAACCAAGCTCTGGTGATAAATACTTATTTTTTCATACAATAACTGAAACCCTCCTGAAGGTGTTTGATAAGCATCTGCATGCATTTTCTCTGAATCTGTAAATTTCAATGTGATCAGAGGCATGGCAGCTGCCTACTTCAGGCCAGAGAGGCCATTAGTACATTTTCCAGCCAAATGTATTACTGTTTATACCTATTTACCTTGTTGCAGCAGAGCTTAGGCCCCCATATATGATGTATATGGGATTTAATAATAAAAGTAAGAAAAGGAGTTACAGCCTAATGAATGTTATATTTTGTCAGAATAAAATGTCCCATACACAAAAATAGATTGAAGCTGATCTCTGTTACCTTACCCATTATGCCAACTCTGTAAAGGTGCTCCCATTGTTAATCCATCAGATGTTTTAGGGCAATCCTTCATCTGATAGTCACATGTAATTATTTACACGCTAAAAGGCTGCATCAAAACCAAACGGAGATTTTGCATCCTGCTTTCGATGTTCCTTTTTTGTTTATTTGTTTTTGTCCTTTTCAACCCCTGTGTGGCACAAGTCATCAGATGAATTCAATCAGTGGAACAGGAAACCGGGAGGAGAAATAGGATCATTTAGGTGAGACGGCATCTCTCCTGAGCTGACACGCGGCTCCAGATGTGGACCAGATGAGATGCGCTGGTAGCAGACAGGTCACTGCTGCGACGTAAATGGCGAAAACCAGAAAGCCTCCTCATGTCAGACGGTGTCAAACCTACATGGTCCCTTCATTTTTATCTGATGTGTGCGACGCAGAGCCTTTCCCCTCCTTTATGAACCGCTGGATGCAACGATTTGGTCACCACGTCAGCGATCCATCCATCAGTAGGTCGAGGTATGGCAAGCTGATTTGCCAAATAATTACGGAAACCATATTTCACTTATTTTGTCATGATGAATACCTAAATATCTAGAATATCTCGTGTTGAATCACAGGGTAAAATATGACACATAATGTCATCTCTTTCAAGTATAAACAACATAAAATAAAAATAAAAAACTATGTAGACTTACAGCTACTATCTACAGGCTTTAATTGATATAATATATATACATTTTAATATACATTTTGTTTGTTTTTGACCCAAAATGTGATATAACTCTGGTGATATTCCTAATTTCCATACATGCTCCAGCGCTCCCAATTTAAATGTATGAGAAATTATAATTTATTCTTATTTCATGCTTGTTCTAATGTGCAAATTCTGTTCCTTGATATCAATAATAATTTAAATTTTGCATCTCTAACATGAAACCAAGCTGTAACAATGGTATTGTGCATATCTGAAAGGTGTTGCTTTTAAGGCAGGCTGTTTCTATCTTTAAATCTGTTGCTGACTTTCTATGTTAGAATGGATTGTATTTGTGGAATTGGAAACTTGACAAACGTGTCATTTTTTTGTCTAAGGAAGATGTATGTTGTGATATTTGAAATGACTGTGTAAAGAAAGAGTCCTTTGGGAAAGCTGAAATACTAATGTTAACTTGGATGCATATCCACCTTACTCACAAAAGGATGTTAGAAAATAAACTTTTCCAAGCTTTTCTGAAAATTCCTCTTCAGTCCATAGACTTTCAATATGTTAAGTGAGAATGTACATTAAGAACAGAGGTGGGTGGAGTACTATATATATATATATATATATA